AAATGGGCTATCAAGTCATGAGAAGACCCAGAGAACGCTTCGGTGTGAATCACCAAGGGAAAGAAGCCGGTCTGAAACAACCACGTGCTGTGACTTCCGGAAACGCGGAGACTGGGAAAGGACCGGCCTGAAATGACCACGTGCTGTGACTTCCGGAAACCATGGAGACTGGGAAAGGACCGGCCGCCAGGCTTGGGGGAGGGAGCAGTGAACAGGTGGAGCACAGGGGTTTTTAGGGCCGTGGCGACTCTGCATGGTGCTGTGACGATGGAGACACTCCACGTGCTTGTCTAAACCCACAGAATGTGCACCATGAGGGAAGCTTCAGGTGAATTGTGGGCGCTGGCCAGTAATAATGGAGCAGGGCTGCTTGTCACTCCCTTGACCCACTGGTGCTCTGAGGCCCGTCTCAGCCCGGGCACATTACCCACTGTGCTGCCAGACACACCTCCGCCCCAACCTCAGCCTTCCCCAAAGCCCGCTGTCTCCACCGCCTACCCCCAGACCTTGGGGCCAGCCGTCCGGTGCTAACAGGGCCCAGGACCCTCCCACGCCCACCCAGAAGCCTGGGGACCCGGCCCAGCCCCTCTCCCCCACCTCTAACTAGTCTCCACACCCTCTTTATTCCATCTTCTCAGCCCGCTGACGTCTGCCTCTCCCGAACCCCTCCACGCAGCTAAGCGGACGTCTCAGCAGAGCAGAGGAGAAATCATTAGGGCCAAAGATGTGAGGGCCCCACTTTTTCTTTTTAATTTCAGAGAGTTTGTCTTCTTTTAAGCAGTCACAGGTTCACATCAAACATCACAGGGAGGCACAGAGACTCCCAGCATGCCTCCGGTCCCCATGCACACACAGCCCACCCGGCAGAACAGAGAGCGCGTGGCCCCACAACGGCCCTGGCTGCCCCAACTGGATGCAGCCCGCTGTCGGCCCCAGGCTGCACGTGGACGCACGCCCCCACCTTGGCTTCCCCAGTGGCCCCCTGCAAGGGAGGGCCTAGGCTATCAATGTGCCGGGGGTGGATGGCCCTTCCTAGAGGAGGTCAACGCCAGACCAGCAGATGGACACCTCTGTCCGCCACAGGCAGCACTGGCCACCAGCAAACACAGGGTGACCCTCCACACGGAGTCACCAGACGCCTCGGACACCCAGCACAGATCACGGCCCTCATCTCAGGAACAGCCTTCTGCGCCCCGACAGGATGCACTTCCATAGAAGCCGCCACTGGCTCTCCCGAAGCAGTGCCCACCCATCACAAGGGAAACCTGGTGTGACTGCTGTCTCATCAAAGGCACAGAGCGAGCCTGGGTCACCGAGCGTTTGATCAACGGACCAGAGGGAAGCCACCACTGCCCCAGGATCAGGAGACGGGGCCGCCAGACGAGGCGTCCAGGGCCACAAGGCAGCACAGAGCAGCATCAGCGAGGGCACGGGAGAGGGTGTGGTCTGACCACAGGCTGACCCAGCCCTCCAGGAGCAGACGGGCAGCAGGAACACATGCAGACGCTCGGCCCCGAGTCCTTCCTGATAAGCCTGCTACAAACCTGCTTATTTCTCTGAAATCATTTCCTCAGCATAAAGGTGCTTTCTGGAGGAAAAAAAAAAACTGAAAGCCATCAAACACGAAATGATGGAAAGAAAGCAGAACTGCGACACATCCACAGGATGGAAGCTGAACAGTCATGAGGAGCCACCGAAATGCTGCTCATGTGGACACTGGGCCACAGGAGTGCCCCTGAGGCCACTGAGATGCATGCTGGAAAACGGCCAGAATGCTGAATTCTACGTCATGTATGTTTTACAATAAAAAGTGCTGCTAGGAAGAAAAACATCAGGGCTTCCGCAGTGACCGGTGGTGAGGGGTCCTTCTGCCAGTGCGGGGGATGTGGGTTCGATCCCTGACCCGGAAGGAGTCTACGTGCTGCGGGGTGACAATGCCAGCGCGCCAGCCACTGAGGCCTGCACAGCCACGCTGCCAGAGACGCCCCGGACCCTGCGCACTGCGCCAGAGGGCAGCCTGCCCGCCGCCCCCGCAGAAAGCCCGCGCACAAAACAAAGACTTGGCACAGCCGGAAATAAATAAATGATAAGTTTGAATAAAAAAGAAAAATCTAACAAAAAATGCACACATACATGATTATCCACATCTGTATGTAAGCGCGTCCTGCAAGCAAGGAAACTCCTGGGGGGAACGTAGGGGTGGCACACGGGTGCGACTCCACCATCGCTCCTGCTCCATTTAAACCCACCAAATCCCAGAGCGGCTCCGAGGCTGTGCTTTGCCAGGGGACACAGACTATTCTGCCCCCTCGAGCTTCCACCTGAGAACAAGCCTGCCTCCTCGCTGGCTCCCTCACCGAGGCCTGGGTGCTGGGCCCGCACCCCAGCCAGGGCAGCACCCCAGGAGCTAGGCCATCCCCGCCAGCCTGTGTGGGCAGCTGCAGCCTCCGCACTTATCAAGGCCACGGACATGTGCTTCCTCCTCGCCACACAAGGGGAGAAACGCACCCCTTCCCGGGCTTCTGGCCTGCTGGCCTCCTGCGGAGAGGGGCCCGGGACCAGGCCCCACAGCAAGAGCGTCTCCAACCGCGGTCACCCTGGTCCACAGGTGCAGCAGGCGAGACGCCCGTGGGTTTAAGGACACTTCAGGGTGCTTCGTGTTTGGGGATCGCGGGTCCATCTGAGCGCCCACTGCAAATCCCAGGGACTCTCCCCAGTAAAATGTACCCGCTTGTAAAAGCTCGCAGGCAATTTCAGAGACTCCACCCAGTCAGCCTGGAACCTGGAACCCCGGCCTTCAGGTCACCCTTCTCCAAACCTCAGTCCTCACCTGTTGAATGCAGACGGGAAACTGCCCCTCCAGGCGAGAACCGTTAATCAATCCTCCTAAACCTCTGTGCCTGCCAGGCCTCTCCCCCGCAGGCTCCAGACCCACAGCCTCTTTGATGACTCAGACCCTCCAAGGCATTTCTCTTGTCTTTCTGTCCAACCCTGCCTCCCCCCACCGCCCCCTTCTTGGCAAGAGGCACCCCTTCACTCAGGACTCAAGCCAGTCCTAGGAGTCACGGTCCAGGTCTTGCTCCTCACCCTACCCCCATCCCCCAGCAGGACCAGGAAGGCCCCCCGAGCCTCTCACTCCACATCCACTCCCACCAGGGGACAGATGCACCCCCTCTCCCGCCAGGTGTAACAACACCAAGCGTCTCTGGCCACTGCAGATGCCCCTGGGGGCAAGAGGATCCATCCCACTGGGACCCTCTGCTCAGGTCTCATTCTGAGGCCTCAGGTCTGGCCGGACCCTGCCTCTGGCCTCCAAGCAGGCTGCCTGCCTCGGTCCTGCTGAGAGCTCACATCCCATGGGACACATCATCTGGCTGGGGTCGTCGTGAACAAGTCAAGAGGCACTGTCAGCGCCTGACTCTCCCCCTCACACGTGCCGGAAAACAGCACGCCCCGCCCCTGCCCCTGGGCACCCACACCTCTCCTGCACAGCGAGGAACCAAAGAAAAACAGATGAAAGCCACAAGACAGTGTTCAGCCACCAACTGAAAAACAGCTTTTCACATTAAACCAGCCAAAGCCATGGAGAAGGGCATGGCAACCCACTCCAGTATTCTTGCCTGGCGAATCACTTGGGCAGAGAAGCCTGGCAGGTTACAGTCTATGGAGTCAAAAAGAGTGAGACACAGCTAAGCAACTCTGCTCGCATGCATGAGCACGCAGGCAAGCACAGCTAAAGCTGGTTAGGGTGGGTGGCCACAACCACACCATCTGCTGGTGGGTCTTGAATTGATGCTCCCTTTGGAGAGACCCTGATCACACCAATAAGATCTCTGAAACCCAGTAAGTCCATCTTGAATTTCAGTAATTCCACCTCTAAACAATGCTACATGCAGAAAGAGAAAAAAACCTATGTATGAATATGTTAATATGGCATTACTTTCCAAAATAAAAAAAAATTTTTTTTAATTGGAAACAACTGTCCAATCATGAGGAATAATGTTGAGAAAACTTTGGTGAATCTTCTCCACACAAACTACATAATCATTTACAGTGAGGACTATGAGGAATGTGTAATAAATGCACAAGATAAAACTGCATCCATAACATGATTCCAACTTTGTTTCAAAACCACGATGAGCGGGGGGTACGGACAGGTGGGAAGGACTCCAGGTGATTTCTACTTCTTTCCACTTCTGAACTTTCCAAATTTTCTTTAAAAGGCATGTATTACTTAAAAATGTGCTTTAACGTGTTGTTTCAAAGGGAATAAATAAATCCATTCCTCTGGGTTAAGGCTCTGTGTCCACAGGGGCCCCCATCAGAAGTAAAACACTGCGGGGCTCAGGGACACAGAGGTGATTAAAAGCGAGCTGGGCCCAACTGGGATCCCGTTTAGGATCCAGGAGGGGCGGGCAGTGTCAGACAGGTCCTGACACAAGGACCTCGGGAGGAGCCTGGGGTGACCCCAGAGAGAGTGGCTGGGGCAGGGGACGAGGGGGAAGGTGGGGGGACGAGGGGGGAGGGGAGCTGCTCAGGGCTCCTCTGGGGCTCCTGCCCATCTCCTGCTCCCAGCCCCCCCCCACATCAGGAACCAGCATGGGTGAAGGGGGTCATCCAGGCAGGAGGCGGCGGGGCGGGCAGCCGCCCGGTCTCGGGGCTGCGGACCCTCGTCAGGCTGACCTCTGCAGCTCCACCACGCCTCGCGGCGGCCCGTTCGCTTTCACCCTGAGCGCAGAGCGCGCCTCTGATGGCCCCCGAGTTGAGAACTGCTGGTGACCCCACAAGCGACAGTCACAACCACCACTTCCCAAAAGATCCCAAGCCTTCCGCCCCCCCCCCCCACCCCAGAGCCTGAGCCGCGAGAGAGGATGGGGTCCTGCGGGGGCGTGAAGCCGCCCGGCCTCCTAGGGGCTGCTGGGCACGTAGGGGTGGGAGGGAGGCCGGGGGAGCCCGCCGCCCGACACCCCGCCCGCGGGGGCCAGGCCGCAGCCACTGACCTTCTCCAGCCTCTCGAAGTGCTCGCGCAGGAACCGCATGGGGCGCTCGGGCTTGGCCAAGCAAAGCTGCACGATGCAGTCCTTGAGCACCTGCTGGATGCCGCGCCTCTGCACGTAGAGTTCACAGGCCCGCAGGCCGTCGTCTTCGTCCAGCTGCTGCGCCCCCGGCGCGGCCATGGCGACGCGCGGCGCGTCCTGCGGGAGAAGCGAGTCCGCAGGCCGCGCGCCTCCAGCAAGCGCCCGGGTCCGACCCGGCCCGGCGACCGGGGCGTCTGCCCTGCCAGAGGCCCCTCGTCCTCGAGGCAAAGCTCACCTCTAGGCAGATGCTCGCGGGGGCGCGTGGGGGCCCGCCAGGGCCGGCGGGGGGAAGCGGGGAAGCGGAGCCGCCGGCCTGTGCGCGCAGCCGGCCAGTAAGGGACCCACCCCCAACCCCCTCTCCCCGCCGCCCAGATCTCCCGCCTGGGCAAACTACCCCTGCCCCCGCTCCCCTTCCTGTCCCGCCTCCTCACCCTCACCCCAGACATGCAGGCTGACGAGCCCCACATTTGACAGACCGACACACATCAGTGCGCTGCTGCACTGCCGGGAGGACCACCACGACCACCCCCACGCGCCCGCCTCACACCTCCACCCCGCCACTGGAGGCTCGATTACCCAGATTGCCCATCTGCCTTGGGGGTTATGGTGAGCACCCCCCCCAACCTGGGTGTCACCTCTGGGTCACAGGGCCTGCACAGCATTTTGCCCCCATTCTGCCTGGGTAGTGGTAGAAATGTCATTTCAGGCAGTTGGGGGTCCCCACCCTTTGCCTGGAGGCTTCCCAGATGGTGCTAGCGGTAAAGAACCCTCCTGTCAATGCAGGAGATCTAACAGATGCTGGTTCAATCCCTGGGTCAGCAAGATCCCCTGGAGGAGGGCACGCAGTCCACTTCAGTATTCTTGCCTGGAGAATCCCACGGACGCAGGAAGGTGGCCTGGTGAGGAGGGTGACAAAACCGGGGGCCAGGTTTCACATGACAGACTTCTGTGGGAGGCATACTCTCCAGAGCAGGCTTCTGTTCTCAGGGCCTCCTGGATGCTCCCAAGATCTGTGCGGGGCCCTCCCCCGCATGGTCTGCGGGAGGGGGACCCTCTCTGAGGATGGCCTTCGGACCCCAGCACCCCCCCCACCACACACACACACACTCTTATCTTGCTGGATGTTTTGCCCTGGCAGAGAGCCCCCAGGCCGTGGCTGGCAGACCAGGTGCAGTGGCTGGCAGGCAGCTGGGTGCCCGGCCCCCCAGAACATTGCTCCCCGGCCCCTCTCAGCTGGGACTGAATGAGCCCCATGCTCCCGCCACCACGGGGGCAGCCCCCACCAGCCTCTCTCCTCAGACCCTTCCAGGCCCCTTGGGGGCCTATCTCAGGGGCCCCCACATCCAGGGCCTGCAGGTGGGCCACCCTAAGAGCCCTGCCCGCAGTCCAACCTGCTGGCAAGCCCCCTCATTTCTCCTGGGGCCCCAGCCCCCTTCACCGGTCACTTGGGTGGAAAGGAAACACTTCCCATTCATCCAGGCACTCACCGCTTTGAGGCAGGGAGCCAGGGGCCCTCAAACCAGGCCCGGCCTCCCCGTGTCCAGAACCGGGTGGCACTGACCAGTTGCTGCTGTTGAGAGGCTGAATCATGTCCGACTCTTGCGACCACATGAGCTGTAGCCCCAGGCCCCTCTGTCCACGGGATTCTCCAGGCAAGAATACGGAGTGGGCTGCCACTTGCCCCTCAGGGGATCGTCCCAACCCGGGGGCAGAACCCACATCTCCTGCACTATTGCTGAGCTGCCAGGGTAGCCCAGTTAACATTCCCAGTGATGGCACAGTGGTTCCTCGCAGCTGATCCAGGTGCCTCCACCCTGAACTACATGACCCACGCCCCTTCCCGCGGGATGGGGGGTGAGCACAGGGTCCATCAGGGAAGCCGACTAGACCGCAGGTGGCCAGTGCCCTCGCGTGGGGACAGCAGGGGTGCCCCTCCTGGAGCAGGGTCAGGGAGCTATGTGGACCAGTGTCGCCACGCACAGCTGGGTCAAGGTCCCTGCCTCGCTGGGCTGGACAGTGACAAGCTCTGGTTGACTGGGCGTCCTGAAGACGTGAGGCGGGGATTATGTCATCGGCAAATGTCCCCACAAGTTGTGCCGGCCTGTGTGTCCCCTCCACCCCTCCTGCTTTCCCCACAGAAGGGCTGCTCGTGCCACAGCCTGGGGTCCTCACCCTGCCCTGGAGCCTGAGTCTCCAAGTCTTGCAAAGGTCCAGCTTCAAAACCACCTTATTTTCCAACCAGCTGCTCCCCCGCCCCAGACTCCTGGTGGTGCCAAGTCTAGTTCACCTGCTAAGATTCAACAGGGACATTGCTTCTGCGAGGAACCCTCCCTGCCTGGGGCCCTCACACCTGCAGGCCAGCTTGGGCCCTTGGGGGTGCCGCCGGGGTCTCCCTGCAGCCCTGGCTCTGTGCAAAGTGAGCCGGAGGCTGACTGCTGAACCTGCCCCCTTCTCTGGCCCCTTCTGTGCCGAGCACCCCAGGGAGTGTGGACGCTGCGCGTCTTGTCCTTTAGGCCCTGAGGAGCAAGGAGACAGACGTGGGTACCTGCGCAGGCAAGGGAGGTCTCAGCACGTCCCCCCACCCGGGGGTGCTGAGCTGGGCTTGGCAGGCGGACTCCTAGGTGGGTCCTGCTTCCTGACCAGCAACAGCGTGGGGGCTATTGGGGGCTTCACCTGGAAGACCCTCCAGTCTCCCGCCTGTGGGCATGGAGGTGGGCGTGGCTGCCGGCACCTGCTGATTGGGAACCAAAGGGAACCGCCGGGATGAGCAAGAAGCAGGTGATCGGTCCAGTGACCACAAGGCTACCAGTTACAGCTCACCAGCCATGTCCCTCCCGGTGGGGCTGGGGGGATGGTGGCAAGCTCAGCCCCCTGCACAGAGCAGAGCCGTCAGGGCCTGTGCGGGTGCAGAAGAGGAGCCCAAGCAGGAACCCGAGGGCAGGGACCCGTCCTGGAGCTCGGGGCAGGGCTCCGAGAGGCGCAGGCCACCCAAGGCGTGGGCCCCCAGGGAAGGACCAGCCCAGGCCTCCAGGGTTGCCTTCAGGGGACACACCTGAGCCCTGCTGGACTGCTGACCCACTGACACAAGACCATCAGGAGTGTGAGGCCCTGCGTTTGTGGTGATTCCCACAATATCTGCAGAGGACAAAGGCAGGGACGCCCGCGGGCGGCAAGGGTCGCCTGTCCCCAGTGCCCCAGGCCCTGGCCCCCTCATCTGCGCCTGGTCCTTCCTCTTCATCCCCGTCGTCCACAGGTTTCTTGCCCTCAGCTTTGTGAGGAGGGGCTGCTGTGGACGCCGGGACCCTGAGCGTCCCACGAGAACCGGCCTGAGGAGCTAATGAACAGACCGACCAAGCGCGCTGGCTCACAGCGGTTTGTTGTGCTGGTGAAATGACACAGTCCAGGACACTGAACGGGGGCTCCTGGAACAGACCTGAAGTCACTCCTTCCTACCCTGACCGGGTCTTTAAAATCCATTTGGAGGAGGAGGTTCCCTCCCGACTCCTGCCTATACAGTTGGGGCAGTTCTATCACATTTCGGCTCAAACGTAGAGAATTTCAAAGTTCTATCGTTATATCAAGATACATACCCAGTGTCAACTCAGTCACTTTAAGTGTCCAGTGCTAAGAAATGGTCAAAACTGCAACCTGATTTAAAGTGTTTTCCCTCGTCCAGCCGGGCCGAGGCCAGGGACCAGACTGGGAAAAAGGAGAAGTTTGCCTTCTTCCTCTTCCTCGAGCAGCCACCCCACCACAAACTTGCCAACTGGGCTTTGCCACCTATCACATCGGGACAGCCTCTGGCAGCTAGGATGCCCAGGCCCGAGCCACCGCACCGGCCTCAGTGCCTCAGGGAAGCGGGACGCAGACTCACTGCCCCGTGTGGAGGCGGCTCTCACCACGCGGATGCGCACACACACGCCTCGGGTGGCGTGTACCCACCCATCCCAGGCTCACCTGACCGCTGTGAACAAGGGGGGCAGACCCGAGAGCACTCCCCTTCCCTCCGTCCCTTGCCCCCACCCCGCCCCGATTTCCCTTCTGCACCCACGTGTAGAATTGGCAGGTCACTTGCTAATCCTGTTTAATTTTTTTACGAACCACAGGGTTCTTCAGTGACTGCACTAGCTTACATTCCCACCGCTGAGACTCAGGGTCCTAATTTCTCCACATTCTTCCAAATATCTGCTCACCTGATTCGAGCATTTCTGCTTCTGCCATCCATGTTTCTCTCTCTTATGTAGCTTCCTGTCCCTGTTACATGTTTTCTCTCCTTTCTAGGCACGGTCTGTCTAAGTACTGGTCCCTCTGTCCCACTGCCCCTGTTTATTCAGTCTGGAAGGACATCTGGGGACAGGGGACAGGAGACTGGACTCCCCCAAGCGCTCACAGAGCCACCACCTCAGTCAGGACGCTCAGGCACCATCACTACAGGAAGCTCCTTCGCCACACCGGTGCGGTCACACCCAGCCCATCCCCCTGCCCCGGAGACCACTCCCAGGTCCTCCACTCCCGCAACTGTCATCTCAGGACTGTTTACAGGGACTCAGGGAGTCAGTGTCTCGTCGTGATTGTCTTTTACTCAGCACACCACCCAGATGTGCACCCGGGTCTCTGCCTGTATCAACAGTCCCTCCTCTTTGTTTCTGAGTAGAACTGAGTTAACATCCACATGTGGAGTCTTTCTGTTGCTGACTTTTATGCTCTGACTTCACTTCCTTTACATTTGTCAAGGTCTGTTTTGTGGCCCAGGATCCACACGGTCTACTCTGGCACGCCCCCGGGCACCTGTGAACAGCGTTCACTATGTGCCTATTGGGTGGAGGGTTCCATGAATGTCCACTGATCCCTCCGATCGACAGTGTTCTATGTCCTTTCCGAATGCCCAGTTGTCCCAGCAGTGGTGAGGAGTGGGAGCTGAGGCCCCACCTGAAACTGGGGCGTTTGTCTCTCTCACTGCAGCTCTGCCAGTGTTTGCTCTGTGTAAAAGATCTGCTTGGGTCGTAAACATTTGCGATTGCTATGTACCTGCCTGCTGGGCTGATCCTTTTATTGTTATACAATCGACCTGCTTTTCCCCTGGAAATTCCCCTTGCTCTGACGTCTGCCTTGGCTGACGGTCACCATTCTACCTTTTCAAAAAGAATGTTTACATGATAGATCTTTTCCCATCCTTTTTCTTTCCGCCTCCCCATGTTATCACAGTTGAAGAGAGTTTCAGTGTGTGACAGACAATGTCAAGTTGGGTCACGGGTTTTATACCTCCTGCGAATCTGTGTCTACTCACTGGTGTGTACATGCCATTCACATCTGCAGTAACTGCTGATAATCAGTGCTCAAATGGCGCTTGTCCTCTCTCGTGCCACAGTGTGGGGTACCTGGATATCCGGCGGAATTCCACTGGATGGCGTGCTGAGTGCCTCGCTGTCGACGTCTGTGCGCGGCACTCTACATAGCCCGTGCATGCATGCAGTTATCAGTCCACGGGCACCGACGTTCCGCCACGCCGTGTGGCGCAGAATCCTCCCTCCACCGCTCTCACTTCTCTCACACACACAGAGTACCCTGGTTTGCTGCGACCATCAGATGTTAAAAAACGTGCCACTTCCTTCTGGCTGCTGTGATTTCCAGCAAGAAATCTCTCATTCATACTCATGTCCCTCTGGAGGCAAAACAGCATCTCTCTCTGTTTTCACATTTTTTTCTGTCATTTGTTTTCAGAGATTTAATTACGATGTGTCTTGGTATGGGTTTTTAGAGGGCTTAGCTCTTCCCTGGTGGCGCAGATGGTAAAGAATCCGCCTCCAATGCAGGAGACTCGGGTTCCATCCCTGGGTGGGCAAGATCCCCTGGAGAAGGGAAGAGCTACCCACTCCAGTATTCTTGCCTGGAGAAGTCCATGGACACAGAAGCCTGGGGGGTTACATCCAAGGTGACAAAGAGTCGGACACGACTGAGCGACGAACACTACACTCTGGCCTACATAGGGCTTGGTCAGTCTGTTGTGTCTATGGGTTTGTCTTTCGCCAAATTCAGGAAGTTTCCGGCCGTTATTCCTTGCAGCGCTTTGCAGCCCACATGCTCCCTCCTCTTGCTCTGGGTCTCTGGTGACTGTCCTGTGGTGGTGACACTGAGGCTGTGTGTCTCTTCTTTTTCAGTCTGTTCTCTGCTGCTTCGATTGAGCAGACTCTACTGCTTTATCTGTGAATCTCCTGATTCCTTCATCCCCACTTTGTTATCACATCCATCCATAGTGGGCAGTGATCACCATGTCTATTACGCTATTATGGCTACTGTATCTTCCAGTTCTGTAATTTTCATTTGGCGCTGGGTGGGGGGGGTTTCACAGTGGGAACTTCAGTTTACTGGTGACTCTGTGGGCTGTCATCTAGGGCACGCGCTGCAAAGGCTCCTGCCAGTTCAAGGCCCCGCAGGCACCCCGCCACCGAGAACAGATGCTGAGGCAGCCATCTGTCCTCTGGCACTGGCCAAGCTACAGTCCCCATGGCCTGCCGGCAGGTCTGGGTTACAGCCCCCTCTAGCGCCTGTTCCAGGAAACTAGAGGCCAGAAGAGAAGCCCCTGGGTCACCCCACAGCTGTTCCTCTAGCGTGGTGGTCCCAGTCAGCTTGCCCCCTCCTCTCCAGCTCAGATCCTCCCCGTTGTCCGCTGAACTAGCTGCAAGGTGTTCAGTTGTAACTGGGCAAGGGAGTAGCCGGGAAAGTGAGTCTGCCCCACCTCTGAAGCAGGGGATCCCAGCACCCTCACTTCAGTGCTGACGCTCTCATCTCGACCACAGCCAAGGCCTTCCCAGCAGCCTCACATGGTGTCTGCCTGGCTCCTTTCCAACCCATTCTCTGACAGCCAGAGTAGTCTCCTACAAACACAAACCTCCTAGTGAAAACCCTCCTACCTCAAACCCTGACTTGTGTCCCCCACCGGGACCCAGAGGACCCTGCTCCCCCTGGATGCCCTGGCTTTAGCCGCGGAGGGGAGCGGTGTCAGGCCCCCTCCCTGCATCTGTTCCTGTGGCTGCGGAAACACAGTGCTATAAACCTGGCAGCTTAAACAAGAGAAAGTTATCTCAACGTTCTGGAAGCCAGAAGTGCGAGGTCACAGTGCCGGAGCCTGGTTCCCGAGAGCCGTGAGGAAGCCTGCCCCAGGCCACCCCCCTGAGCCTGCAGACGCCCCACCTGCACATGCTTCTCCCTGTCTGCTTGTGTGTCTCCAGCTTCCCCTCTTCACGAGGACACAGTCAGATGGACTAGGGCCCACCCTAAAGATATCCTAACTTGATGAGTCTCTATGGCCCTATCGCTAAGTAACATCCCCTTTGGAGGTCCAGGGCGGGGAGGGAGGGTCAGGACTCCACTACATGAACTTTGGGGGGCACAGCACAAGTGAGCGGTCACACTCCCATCGCAGGCCTCTGTGCATGCTGTCCGCTCCACCTAGTTAACTACGCTATGCCGTGTGCTCAGTCACTCAGTGGCGTCCAACTTTCTCCCCATGGACTGTAGTCCGCTCCTCTATCCATGGGATTCTCCAGGCAAGAATACTGGAGAGAGTTGCCATGCTCTTCTCTAGGGGATCTTCCCGACCCAGGGATGGAACCCAGGTTTCCGGCACGGCAGGTGGATTCTTTACCATCTGAGCCACCAGGGAAGTTAACTTTTATGAGAGTTAACTATTACTCACCCTTTATATACCACCACGGCCGTCACACCAGGAAGCCTTCCCAGTCTACACCAAGTTCCTTGGCCTTCATCCCTCATGCTGACTAACCTGCCACCCAGTAGACCAAGACTCGAGCCGGCAAGACCAGGCTGGCCCGACCCGGGCCTGCAGGAGACGTGAGGGTCACAGAAGCCACTCGAGGACACGAAAGGGCACGACCACCACGCCTCACCGAACACAGGTTCCCAGCAGCCAGCAGATCGGGACCCAACCCGGACCCGGACCCCGGCCCTGGCCAGCGTCCCTTCAGCTCCCCTAGGCCCCGCCCCTAAGGCCCCGCCACGCCCCCGGCCGTGTCCTGTCCGCGCCCGAGCTGCCAATAAAGTTGCGCTCGGAGCTGCCCGGAAAACGTGCCGTAATCCGCACCGCGGCCGTCGTAAAAGCGCCGGTCTCCCCTGGTGACGAGCAACGCGGGGAAGATGGCGGCGCTGGTAGCGCCTGAGGCCGCGGCGCCCCGGGGCCCGACAGAAGCAGGGGAGACGACCGAGGAGGCGGAGCTGAGCCNCCTCTCCTGCGCTCCGGGCCTCTCCTCTGGGCCCTCGCACCCTGGGCAGCAGTGAGCCAGAGCCTGCCTTGATCTGAGGACCTGAGCGCTGAGAGAACTCGCTGGAAGTACCACTGAAATAGCAACCTCACACAGGTCTGAAGCAGCGGCAGAACTGCAGAGCTGGAGGGTCCACCTGGGTCCCACGAAGACCCTCTGGTGCTGACTTTCTGTGAGGCCCGTAGAAGCGGGGTGGCTTTGCCTGAGGCGGTGCTGGTGCGGTTTCCTGTGCTGTGCTGCATGTCTGGCTCGGCAGGACCTGGGGACATGCGGTCTCTCCCCACTCCGGGCACCTGTCACATCCTTTGGCAGCTTCAGGCTCTCCTCTCCCAGCTGCCCTGTTCAGCTGACACGGGCTCCAGCCCCAGGCCTCTGAGAGGTGCTATTTGCGTCACTCGTCCTGTCCCTGCGCCTCTCCAGCGCTGAGGGTACAAAGCTCCCAGCGGAACCAGCCAGAGCGGAGGCCCCCAGACTCCCCTGGTGACTGGTGCCTCCCTGCCCCACAGACCACTTCCACATGCAGTCGGAGTCCCTGATCGGCCCCCTGATGCAGTCCATCTCCCACCAGCACTGGAAGGTGCGGGTGGCTGTCATCGAGGCCACGGGCACAGTGGTCCAGCTCGGCAGCGGGAAGTCAGTGGATGATGTCCTTCCTCACTTTGCTCAGCGGCTCTTTGACCACGTTCCCCAGGTAAGGAGAGTTTCTCCTCCGGGCGGTCCCTTTTCTCCACCAGGAGCGTGCCAGTGTGCTATTTGTCACTCACTTTTGTCCTTTTTTAAAGATATATGTGACACCAAAATGTCCTTCCATCATTCCCAGTCACAGGGTGTTCCTATTTCACATTTTTGAGAGGCTGAGGGAGAACTGACTTGTTTTGGTATGTTTGTTATTCTTAATTCTAAAGAATGGGGAAGAGGACTGTTTGCTTTTAGGAAGAAACTCTAAACTGAGTGTTTCCACGGTTTCTAGAAACATGTGTAGCATGCCATCCATCAAGGTGATTTAATTGGAAAAACCACAGAGATTGGCAAACCAGGAGGATTGGAGCCAGGGTTGGTATATTTGGGTAATTCCTTCCCCTTGGCTTTGGGGCCTGCGGAGACAGACAAACAAGACAGGCAGGCAGGTGGAGGTGAGAGAAGCAGCTCTTTTGTCGGCTGAAGCCAGCTCAGAGTCGTGGATCTAAGGCTGTGAGGGGCAGAGTGAAGCCCGCAAGGGCAGGCTCTCTCCCAAAGGGGAGAGTGGGTGAAGGACTCCTGTCCCTGGGGCAGGAGGAGCGGTGGTTGCTGGTGGGGCACCTGCAGGGCGGGGGACACATGGCCCCTGTGCCCCTGGCAGAGGGAACGCCAGCCTTCTTGTATCCTGTCCGTCAGTACTTACATGCCATCGTGTTCCTTCCCACGAAGATCCTCCATGTCTGAGGCTGGGGCTGGTATGAGTGCCAGGGCCCCAGTTGGAGCTGGCCTCCTCCAGGCCTGGGTCTGTTGACCCCAAAGACTGCTCTCCAGCACCCCAGCTGGCCTCCAACCACAGCCACACTAGGTCATGTCATTGTTTTCTTCTTCTTTATATTTGAAGTGTGTACTTGATTTCAATGTTGTGTTAACTTTGGCTGTACAGCAAAGTCATTCAGTTAACACATGCATGCGTGCTGTCTTCTAGAGTCCTTTCCATTGTGGTTTCTCACAGGATATTGAATATAGTTCCTCGTGTTGTGCAAGAGGACCTTGTTGTTTACCCACGCGTGTATGCTAGTTTGTATCTGCTAACTCCAAACTCCCAATCCTTCCCTCGCCACTCCCCTCCCCCTTGGCAGTGGTCTGTGCTCTGTGTCTGTGAGTCTGTCTCTTTCATAGGAGGGTTCAGCTGTGTCATATTTTAGATTTCAAATATAAGTGGTATCATATAGTATTTGCCTTTCTCTGATTTACTTCACTTAGTATGATAATGTTTAGGTCCATCCATGTTGCAGCAAATGGCATTATTTTGGCTTTTTATGGGGAAGTAGTAAGTATTCCACTGTATATAATGTACCACATTTTCTTGATCCATTCACCTGTCCATGGATGTTTAGCTTGTTTCCATGTCTTGGCTCTTGTAAGCAGTGCCGCAGTGAACATTGGGTGCATGTATCTTTCGAACTGCGTCTGAGCGTCTGCCCGGGAGCTGGGCTGCTGGGCCATGTGTTGGCTCTCCTTAGTTTTTAAGGGGCCTCCGCGCTGCTCTCCTTAGTGGCTGCATCAGTTTATATCCCAACAGAGTCGGAGGCTTCCCTTCTCTCCACACCCTCTCCAGCGTTTGTTCTTTGTAGACTTTTCAAAAGAAATTTTTACTATTTTTTTTACTTTAAATTTTTTGCCGCGCTGGGTCTCTTTTCTCCAGCTGTGGTGAGCGGAGGCTGCTCTTCATTGCGGTGACTGGGCTTCCCACTGCAGTGCCTTCGCTTGCTGTGGACCACAGGCTCCAACACGTGCGGGCTTAGTTGTCTGGCAGCCTGTGGAATCTTCCCAGACCAGGGGTCAAACCTGTGTCCCCTGCATTGGCAGGCGACTCTTAACTACTGGAATACCAGGGAAGTCCATTTGGAGACTTTTTAGTGATAGCCATTCTGACCGGTGTGAGGTGAATTGGGGTTTTGATTTTCATTTCTTCAGTAATTATTGATGCTGAATGTCTTTTCATGTGCCTGTTGGCCATCTGTATGTCTTCTTTGGAGAAGTGTCTGTCAAGGTCTTCTGCCATTTTTTGACTGGGTTTTTGCTTTATTGCTCTTGAGTTGTATGCGTTGTTCTGTATTTGGGGGATTAACCCCCGTCAGTCGCATCGTGTAGTATTTTCCCCCAGACTCTGCAGACTGTCTGTTTGTTTTGCTCATGGTTCCCTTTGCTGGGCAGACGCCTGTGAGTTTGGTTAGATCCCATTGGTTTAGTTTTGTTTTATCTCTATTATGTTGGGAGACTGACCTAAGAAAACATTGGTATGGATTGTATCAGAGAATGTTCTGCCTATGCTGTCTCCTAGGAGTTTTATGGTGTCTTACGTTTAAGTCTTTAAGACGTTCTGAGTCTGTTAGTGTGTATGGTGTGAGGGTGTGTTCTAACCTCATTGATTTCCATGCCGCTGTCCAGCTTTCCCAGCACCACTTGCCCTTTCCCCCGTGCACATTCTCGCCTCCTCTGTTGGAGATTACTTGACTGCAGTTGTGTGGGTGACTTCTGGGCTTTCTGCTCTGCTCCGCTGACCCACGTGTCTGTTTTTTTGCCAGCACCATGCTCTTTAGATGACTGCAGCTTTGTAGTATTGTCTGAAGTCTGGGAGAGTTATGCTTTCAGCTTTGTTCTTTTCCCTCAGGTTTGTTTTGGCAATTCTGGACCTTTCATGGTTCCATATGAATTTTAGGATTGTTTGTTCTCGCTTTGTGAAAAATGTCATGGATAATTTGATAGGCCTCAAATGAAATCTGTAGCTTATTTTTTGGGCGTTGCGGCTGTTTCAACCCAGGAGCAAGGTGGGTGTCTTTCCACTGCTTTGCGTCATCCTCGGTCTCCTTTATTAATTTTTCTCGTTCTCACTACGTAAGTCTTTCACCTCCTTGGTCAGGTTTATGCCCAAGTATCTTAACTCTGTTGGTTGCAGTTTTAAAAAGGACTGTTTTTTACACTCTCTTTCTGATGTTTCACTGTTAGTGTGAAGAGCCGTGTTGTTAAGCTCGCTTCCTTGCTGCAGTGGGCGTGGTGTGTACAGGCGCGCACACCACCTTCTCTGACGCAGGCAGCTGGTCCCCAGCCTGCCCAGGAGGTTCCCGTGCAGGAGGCTGCAAACACGCCACAAGGCTGAGACAGGGCCACGGGGCCTGCTGTGGTCAGCGAGGGTCCGGCCTGAGCCTGGAGGACACGGGCTCAAGCCAGCGAGACTGGGCATCCTGGCGATCTGTCCCAGACCCAAGATGCGGACCGCACAGCTGCTGGAGCAGCGAGCTGGCCCTGGGCCCTGCGGCGCCTGCAGGGTGGGCCCGGCTGCCCAGGTCCCCGCGTGGCGGGGGGGGGGGGGGCCACTGACTGTCTCCCGCCCGCAGGTGCGCCAGGCAGTGACACGCGTGGTGGGGGGCTGGCTGCTGAGCCTGCGGGACCGCTACTCCTTCTTCCACAAGCTCATCCCACTCCTGCTGAGCAGCTTCCACGACGAGATCCCTGAGATCGCGTAAGTGACAATGTGGGGCCGTGGCCGGGCTCCGGCGCCCCAGGCCCGCCCACTCTCCTCCCAGGCGCAGCCTCTCCTCTGTTGTCATTTCCTGTGGCAGCAGCTTCTCCTCTGGGCCAGAGCCCCCTGCAGCAGGCCCCTCCTGCCTACTGAGCGGCCCCAGGGCTTTGACCGGGCAGTTTTGCACCTTCAGCCCCTCACCTGGCTCACAGACAGGAATTTGTCAGGCAGAGATGGGGGCTGGCAGACCCACTGACGCGTTCTCTTAGGCAGAGGCCCCTGTGGCCAGCCCCCCAGAGCCCCCCCGTCCCCATGGGCACGCCCTGACCTGCAGCTGTGTTGTGTGTGGCAGGTGCGAGGCGACTAGCCTCTGGGAGCGGGTCGGCCTGCAGTGGCAGACGGAGAACGAGGAAGACCTCAAGGACAAGCTGGACTTTGCCAGCCCTCCCCCAGCCCACCACCCCTCGCCAGGTGAGTGCGGCCGGCTCGGGCTGATGAGGCAGGCGTGTCCTGGAGGTGGAGCCCGGCAGCTGGAAGAAGCCCTCGTGGTCCCAGGCCAGCCTCCCTGGGTACATGGGCACACCCGGCCGAGGAGTGTGAGGCTGCTGGGGGAGTTCTGAAAGCGGGATGCTTTGTCAACTCACAGAGTTCTTCTGTGAGCCTCACCTGCAGGAGAGACACAGGCCACAGTGGGATGCAGCCCTAGCATTTCGGGTGATGCCTCCTCAGAACAGAGGCTTCCATTGGTGGACCCCCGTCCTGCCCCTTGCTGTGGTTCCTGCCAGACTGTGAGCGCCCACTCATGCGCGCGTGTGTGTGTGTGCACGCCCATGCACACATGGGCACTCATGCTTCCCCTCAGCTCCTGACTCAGATCCGAGCTGCGTTTCCAAGGAGGCCCCTGCCTACCGGGCCCCAGCCCCCCTTCTTGCTCCAGGGCCTTGCGTGCATCTAGTTTCCTGTGTTGAGGAAACTGTCGGGGGCTGAAGTCCCCTGTGAACGCGATGGGGCACCTTCATCACTGCAGGCTGTCTGCGGGTGTTTTCTTACAGTGGAGCCGTGACAGGGTGACACTGGCAGGACAGAGCCTGGTAAATGGGCGCCAGGTCAGAGGGGCAGTGCTGTGGAAGGCACTGAGCCTGGGGCCTGCAGGCCCCGCCAGACCTGGTCGGGTGAAGTCAGGCCCCTCGAGGGACTGCGGGCGTGATGAGCTAGGGGACAGGTGTTGGCACCTGGCACTGTTCAGTGTGAGGCCCACGGGGAGGCTCCTCCCTGCACCTGGGAGGCTCCTCCCTGCACCTGGGAGGCCTGTGTCTTTTTTTTTGGTCTACCTGTCGACTCAGGCAGCGTCACCTCCCATACCACGCAGCTGCTATAAGGGGAAATCACACATGTTTTGGAAAAGGTACAAAAAATTAGTTGCTAGCAGGGACTTTTTCTGACTTACTGAAGTTTGAGGACACACCATCTTCTGAATTACCACGTCCGCCATATCATATACAGGAACAGAGGTCAGAGGGGTTGTTGGAGTGAGGCCACGTGCCTGCCTGCCAGTGGACCGCTCCCCAGACCGTCCTAATATGGCCCCTCATCCCCCAGACTTGCCCCGAGGGACCAGCGTCATCAGGCTTTTTGTCTTTTGCAGAATTATAACAAACTCACTTAAACAGCTGACAGAATCTGAATCTCTGGAGCTAAGTCTCTCGTAGACCATAGAGATAAAAAAGTAACAGGAGCAGAAATTCAAAATGGGACTTCATGGGTCAAGCTGTTCTTCTTACCAAAACACCCTTTAAACTCTGACTTGTCACAGTCTCATTTCTATTTCTGGAGTTCTTTTTATCTTTAAGATGAAAATCTTGTAATCAAAATCCTAGAAGGCTTTTTTCTAGAAATTGAGAAATTTATCCTGAAATTCACAAGGAAACGCAAGGGACCTAGTGCAGCCGAGACTTTGAAGATGAACACCCAGGTTGAAAGACGAGCTCGTCTGGCTTCAAGACATAAAGACATAGAGATGTAAAGCCAGAGTGAGTGGGCGTAGAGGGGTGGGCATCAGACAGACAGGCCTGTGGGCAGAGCAGAGTCAGATGCGCGGGTAGCCTCTGGGTTCGGATGAGCTACAGAGACAGCTCAGGAGAAAGGGCGTCTGCAGTGGAGATGGTGCCCCTGGACCTGGGTCCCGTCCTCCTGTCGCAGCCTGTGGGCTTGAGGATAGGACCCACACACTCCACAAAGGAATGACTGGTGGACTGGTTCTCATCAAAACGAAAACGTCTGCTTTTTGGAACATGCTGAGAAAATGAAACTGAAGGCGCAGACCGAGGAGATGTTTGCAGATTGTGTGCATAGGGCTTGTTTCCAGAGCACAGAGAGAACGTGCAAACTCAGCATCGGAAACAATCCAGCTTTAGTGGGTATAAAAAGATTGAGAAGATACTTGCCTGAAGACACACAGATGTCAAGTAAGTGCCCGAGAAGATGCCCCAGGTCATGCATGGATCCCGAGGGGAGGGGAGCGCACAGTGGAGCAGCAAGGAGACACCGGGCCGCTGGGCCTGAGCCTGCCCCGCAGCTGGTGTAGACGCAGCGGAGCCACAGGTCCTGGGCGTGGCAGAGGGAGCGGCAGGGGTGGGGCGCAGAGCAGAGGGAGGGTGGCACCGCTTTGAAAATCCATCCCTATTTCTTAAACCATTAAGTGCCTTCCTGCTGGGTGCTCCCACGGGCACTCCTGGGTGTGCCCACCCAAGAGAACTGTTAGCGACAGTCTGCACCAGAGCAGCTCAGGCAACCATCAACAAGTGGATGGACGGACAGACAACCTGTGGTCTGTCTGTGCAGTGGCGCACGCTCAGCAGTGAGAAGGCCTCATGTGCCCCACCACGCAATGGGGCTCCGCGTGCCTTTCCGCATGGAGGGGGGCCGTGTGCTGTGCTCACAGAAGGTAGGAGAGGCAGCTCCTCCGCAGTGACCAGAAGCCGGCCGAGCTGCTTGAGGGAGGGGTGGGTGGTGGGGGGTGTCGGGAGCACAGGGAGCTTATGGGCGATGTGCGTGTGTTGTCTTGAGAGCCGTGTACCCGTTTGTTAGCACTTTGAACATGTAGTTTAACCTGTGTCACGCCTCACCATTACTGAAAACTTCCAAGTAAGTAATGACACTCTGTGGCCTCATTTTCTTCTCTCTTCAGAGTCGGGCTGAGTTCTTTAAGGCCTCAGAATATAAACCTGCAGGTCTGCCTTAAATGAGGGAAGTGTCATAAGCGACCTTCCCACACAAGTCGGTGAGGTGTGTGTGTGTGAATGTCACCATCTCCCTTCACCTTCACGACCCGCAGGGAGCCGCCCGGGGCTGGGCTGCCGAGAGCTCGTGTTCAGAAACCTCTCCAAGATCCTCCCCGCCGTCTGGCACGACATCGCTGACTGGGTGGTGGGCACCAGGGTGAAGTCGGCACAGCTGCTGGCCGTGCTGCTGCTGCACGCGGAGGACCACATCACGCAGCACCTGGAGCCCGTGCTGCGCGCCCTGCTCCGCGCCTGCGCCGACGAGGAGGCGGCCGTGGTCTATAGCGTGAGTGGCGTCTGCGGGACGGAGGGGCCCCGGCCTTCCTCCTCAGCTCTGCCGGCCGTGAACTCGGACCTCAGCAGGCACGCGGTCACTTCTGCATGAAGGTGTAGATGTGCCGTGGCCCCCTGCAGCCCTGGGCCTGGGAGGAGTGGCGTATGAAGGCTCTCCTTAAGTGCATGCGGGCGAGTGGCCCCACATCCGTGTGAAAAAACAGTGTCCACCCACAGGCCCTGCAGTGGTCAGCTTGCAAGGACCACGGGCAGGCAGATGTACAGAGCAGCCCCCAGTGTCCAACTCAGGTGGCCGGGCCTCAGGATGCTCTGACAGCCCTCCCACAAGCCAGACGCGTGCCTTCCTTCCCCTGGCAGTTCTGAGCTCACGGGAGGACTCGCTTGTTTTTGTGAGCTTTTGAGCAGGTGCCAGGAGGAAACGTGCTGCAGGGCTGTTTCTGAGGGTGAGAGCGTGCGGGGCAGATGCCGAGCAGTGCTGGGGTGACAGGAGGAGGGCCAGCAGCCTCAGCCCCCCTCCCATGCCCCCACCCCCAGTGCGAGAGGTCTGCAGAGCTGGTCGGCACCTTCGTCAGCCCGGAGGTGTTTCTGAAGCTGATGCTGCCGACGCTGAGGAAGTCCCCCTCGCCCCCAGGCCTGCTGGTCCTCGCCTCCCTCATCCGAGGCTGCCCCAGGGAGGCTCTGCTGCCACACGTGAGAGTCGTCGCCGTGGAGCTGGCCCAGGATCACATCTGCCGAGGGTCTGAAAATGTAAGCGTGCTGGGGAGAGGGTGGGGTTCGGAGAGTCGGCCCGTCTCCATGGTGACGCAGCCCCCTGCTGCGGCCATCCACACGTAGGCAGTGACAGTCACCCGTCCCTCAGGCCCCTCGGGGGCAGCCAACCGACAAGGTAGCTGGGGTGCAGTCACCGATGTTCTGTTTGGACCCATGTACTTCCTGGCCCGTCCTGCTCCATCCACCATGGTGCACAGGTCACACTGGCCACAACTCAAGTGCCCAGTATTTGTGCTCACGCATTCATGGCCCGTGGCGGCCTCCCTGGACAGCATAGGGTGGAGCACTTCCATCACCGAGGGCAGTTCTCTTCCTTGGATGGCACTGCTGTGGGTGATCCTGGGCAGAGGGCCCTCCACCCAGAAGCTGCAAGTCTGCCCACCCTCTGTCGGCCCACACACCTCTCGGACACGGTGTCTCCATGACAAGCTTCTCCTTACCGCATCATTTGGCTTCTAGTGGGGCTTCCAGCAGGCAGCCTGATTTGGCACTTGTTACTGGGAGCCGTGTTTGCTGGTTACAAATTTATTGTCTTAAATTGAGCAGTAAATCCATTACATCTGAAACTGAAACAATCTAGGTAGTTAGACTTAGTCATTCGGAATAATTTGTAATTATTTGCTATTGATGGAAAAATAACAACCTTGTTTTTGTTTGGTTGTGATGATCTTAAGCCTTGGCTCTTTGCATTGGCATGTGGCGCTTCTGTCTGTCTCTGGAACAATGAGGCTCTGCCTCACTCTGCAGGCCCATGGGGAGCTGGCCCTGTACCAGCTCACGCTCACCAGGGGCGGCCATGCCCACAGAGGTGGACCAGAGCGGGTCCCAGTTACTGTGCTGGGCACATACACGTGACCTACACACAGGACCCCCGTCCTGATCTCCTGTCCTCTGTGAAACACAGCAAAGCAGATGTGTGGGAGCGGTGTTGAGGTCCCTCCCCTGGGGGCCTTCCCAGGCCCACTCCTGGCCCCGCTGCATGGCTGCTGAGGCTGGAGCCTGGGAGGCTAGCGGTGGGCTCGGCCCTCCCAAGGAGCGACCCTGTGTTCCCGTCAGTCAGGAAGTGTCTGTTGAGTCATAGAATTTTATATGTGTGTGTTCACTGGGCGTTACAGGAACCCCGAAGTACACAGAGCGGAGGGGAGAAGTATGCACCCCTCGTGCCTGCCGCGCCTTCCCGGCCTCATCCTGCTGCAGCTTGACTCTGGGGGGAGGCCTGGGGCGTCTGAAGCACATCCAGGGTCCCCTGCCCTTCTGGTGTGTGTCACTGAGCTGCACACGGAACCGTGACCCTCGGGCTCAGCAGGGGTTCACTTTCCCTGCTGTGAAGACGGACGCCCTCTCTGTGTGCGGAAGCCCGGGCCCAGTCCGCCGTGGCTCCACGGCCTGGCCGGCGGGGCCTCATCTGAGTGCCGGGCGGGCGTGGGGTGGCTCACGGTGCCGCTCTCTCCTCAGCGCCTGTATGGTGAGCGCCTGCTGCAGTGCGTGCAGGCCGTGGTGTCCGTGGGCCAGGAGGACTGCCGAGGGGCCAGCGAGCCGCTCCTGGAGGTGCTGGTGACCATCCTGGCGCTGTGGGGGCCCACGGGCCTCGGCAACAAGGTGAGGGGGAGCCTCCCGCTTCGCTGCGGCCCCTGGACTGTGACTGTCTCCGTAGTCTCTGCTCTCAAACTCCAAGTGTTTAGCTTGCCCAACCAAAGACAAAGGAATCTAGAACATTTGGGTGTGTCATCCTCAGTGCGGCCTCAGGGGGACTCAGGATTTTAGATTCCTTCCCACTGAAGTTGACTTCAGTGTCTCAGAGTAAAGATGCTGCTTAATCTTGGAGAAACAAAAGAAAGGCAGCCTCCCTGGTCATTAATAAACCTGCGTTTAAGTGAGGTTGAAAGATATAGGAGAGGAAATATTATCATATTTTCCCCATTTAGTTACAGTCCAGCTTTCCAGTCACTTCCGCTCCCCTGGCTCTGTATTTAACTTTAAACCTCCTGCTGTGTAGCTTCCCGCCCCTGTAAGGACCAAGCGGAGACAGGTCTCTGGCCGCTTCTCCCTGAGCTGAGAGCTCAGCTTCTGCCCCTGGTTCTTTCTCCTCCTGTCTGCCCACATCATGTCCAGGAGGCACCCACACACTACCCTCCCTTTCCTCAGTGCCTTTCTAAACTTTCTTTTGTCTCTTTAAAATCCCCCTCTCTGGAGGGCCCGTGTCTGAGCTGGCGGTTTGTCACCATAGGGCCGTAAACATGTTAGAAAAGTCGAGTCAGTCCTCATGGAGGGTCTGCAGGCCAGACTTGGGCCCCGGGCATCGTGCAGAGTGCCGGGTGCATCCTGTTCCTCAAGCCTGAGGCAGAAGCCTGAGGCTGGGGTGGCGGGGTATGGGGCTGGCAGGCAGCCCTGGCTCCACTGTCCAGCCAGCCCTCCCCATCTTGCCCCCAAAGCAGCAGACGTACTGCTGCCGCTGATCTGGTCAGTTACAGAGCTTAGAGAGGGCGCCTTGGACCCACCTTTGCTGACCGCAGCCTAAGTCTGTTGAGCTCAGTCCCTGAAGCTGTCTGGTCCCCTTCTCTGCAGACAGAGTCCAGCTGCCCCAGCCCTCTGCCCTGCCCTGGGTGGTGCAAAATGGGGGCAGTGGGGGATGCTGAGCCTCCTGTAAGTGCACCTTTGTCCGTTTCATTTGTTGTACAGGCGGGAGGGCCAGGGATGTGGGAACCCCAGGTCACATGGCGTGTGCCCGAGTAGCCCTCTGTCCCTCAGGTAGTGAGGGTCTCCAGTGGGTGTGTGAGTCCCACGTTCAGGTTGACTGTCTCAGCTGGTGACTTGCTCCCCCAGGTCCAGGAGACACTGGCTGAGCTGGCTGCAGTGGAGGGCGTGGACAGCAGCCAGGACCTCTTCCGAGCACATGTGAGCTCCCTCCTGGAGTGGCTGGCTGCCTCGCACCAGGACTGGACCGGCCACTCCGTGGAGCTTCTGCAGCTGGTCGTGGTGCTAACCCACTCAGGTGAGCCCTGGACAGGTGCCCCGGGCTGGGTTCAGGGCACTGGCACCGTGGCGGCTCTGGCAGCCCCAGCGCAGACGGGCAGAGCTGCTCAGCACCACCCAGTCGGCCGTGCGCTGGGGCCTGGTTCTTCATTCAGTCATGATCACTATCGCCTGTGGAGATCGGCCATTTTAAAACCTTATTTTAAAAAGTGCTGAGAATGTTACAGTGAAGAGTTGATGTAACATGGTCTTAAAAGCCTGCCCAGGCACACGTTTTGATGTTGAACCTTGAACGCGTGGCTCAGTGTGGTGCCGTGTGTGTGGCCGTGCTCTTCAGTGGTGTCTGCACGCTGTTCTCTCTGCCCAGCTGGCTTCCTGCCCTGCAAGTTCGGGGCTCAGGGAAGGGAGACAGGGAGGCGGGAGGGGCAGGCAGTCTTTCTCCGGCCACACACTTTCCACTCTGACCCTGGGCTCTGAGGCGATGTCTCTGAATAGATTGAAGTCCTGCCTGAGTGTGGAATCAGCAGACCGGGCGTAAACCAGAGGGCCTGAAGGTGGCCGTTGTCTCTTCTGACACACACGACCCAGGTCAGCGCAGGGCCTGGTGGGGAAGGCAGCTTGTGACTTGCATCCAGACCCGGAGACCCTGTCAGCCCATCATGGGTGGGCCCAGGCCCTGAGCAGCGTCATTGCATTTGGGATCCTGCCAGGCTCAGGGCCAGGGCACCACTGCTCCGTCTGGTGACAGGCATGGGAAGGTCATTGACTGCCAGGTTTGGGGCACACATCCAGCAGTTTTTATACTCTGAGTAGTTGATTTCGGTTGGTCTTTAAAAGAGTGCTTGACTTCAGTGTTTTTACGAATTTGGTGAGATGTATGAAGAAAAAGTTCACATGGTGAACAGAGCCATGGCGGAGGTGGGGGGGTGGCCCATGGCGTCCTATGCCGAGAGCATCCTGCCTGCCATGCCCCGCATGCCTCTTGCGGCCAGAGCGGCTCAGGGCTCCACCTTCCCATCCTCCTGCCACGCCTGTCTTCTAGGCCCTGCCCTTGGAGAAGCCCTGCCCCAGCTGGTCCCCATCCTCAGGAGCTGCCTTCAGCCAGCCAGGGACCCAGCCATGCGCCTGAAGCTCTTCTCCACCCTGACGGGCGTGCTGCTGAAAGCCCCAGAGACGGTGGATTCACAGGGGTAGGTCGGCTCTGCCGCCACGCTGCCCCCACGCCGAGTTAGGGCTGGGCCGTCCCCCACCTGCCCCGACACTGAGGTCTCGTGGGAACTGGGGTGACCCCAAGCTCTAGGCCGTGCTGTCCTGTGCCTTCTTGGCGCCCCCACACACACACACCGCCCCAGGGACACAGCGCAGTGCCAGCCGCAAGTGCACCACACAGACGCTGAATCAAAGCTGTGTTCGTGTGGTCATTAAAATTCCATTGAATGAAAAGTTTCAGGGAACATTAACTCCTGATGGTTTATACATGACTGTGCTCAGCTCTACACGGCTTCTGGTGCCTTTCAAGCCTCACAGAGTTGATTGAATGACTGCAGAGTTCAGAGATCAGGAAACGCATATTCTTCAGCGGGACTGGAGGCAGTAAACACCGGGCCTCCAACTCGAGGCTTTGGAGGGGAGGGGAGCACGGGGCAGGACACCTGTTGGAGCGGAGCCCTTGGCAGGATGGCGGCAGGCGGCGAGATGCAGTGAGTTGTTTGGGATCTGAGAGAGCAGATCTCCACCGTCGGCCTGTCCTGGAGTTTCCCAGGGAAATAGCAGGTCATCATTCAGAGCTCGCGTCTCTGGACGTTACTCTGATCTGCTGTCGGGCCTCTAGCCAGCCCATCATATTGCAGGAAGTTTCATTTCCTGCTTGTCTGCAAAGGCTTCAGGGGTCAGGAGAGGCCATAGAAGGTATGGAGTTGGCGCTGGCACCATCCCGTGAGTAGAGAACCCACAGCCTAGTTGCTGCCCCTCGGGCCCGGGCTTCCCAAGGACAGTGAGTCCCCAGGAAAGAAGCCTCCATGCCGGACTGAACTCCTTCAAGAAACTGCACCCGGAGGCTTCTTGTGAAAAGAAAGTCGCTCAGTTTCAGCTGTTTAGTGACAGTATTAGCTGTTTTTACAGGCAGGAAAGACTTTGGGAAACAACACCTGCTTGGTTTTGAACTTTGGGATTCTAAAATCATGGCGCCTAAGACAGCAAGGGACCCCTGTCCCCGCCCCAGCCCACCCCACCCTGTAAGGACCCCACAGCCAGAGGACAGCGAGCGGGGGCGCCAGGGTTGGGGCAGGAATCCCCGGGTGCTAGAGTAGAGGGCTGCTCCCTGCTCTGGGCGCCCAAGACGTCAACGGAGCCGTCCCCTCGCGCGGAGCGGTCCCGTCACGTCATCCCTTGACGCGGAGCGATTCCCTCACACGGAGCGATCCGCTCACGTCAACCCCTGACGCGGCGCGATCCCCTCATGTCCCCTCACGCAGATGTTATGGAACTCCTCTCCCGTGGAGCGAGACTGGGTGCTGGTGGTTCTGGGAGAGACCGTGGGCCCCCCGGCTGGGCTTTCTTGTCTCGGGACCCAGCTTCGGGTGCGTGTGCGCTCTCCGCGCGCAGTGGGACTCATCCTTTGGGAATCTGCCGTGTCTTCTGCCCCCGGCACCTCACTGGAGTCAGAAGCAGCTCGGGGCCGCTGCCTGTCCCTGGTGGCCGGCGCTCAGCCCCCAGGCGCTTGTTGCCACGCCGTGTGGGCCACCTCAGCTGGGACGCGAGGCCGACCTCTCCAGAGACCCCCGGTGGATCACTCTTCAGGAAACAGCGGCTCTGCTAAAAATCACGCAGGTTGAAAACCTGGGAGGCCTGTGAGTCCCCCTGCACCAGGTTCGAGGTCCTCGGCTGCGGCGGCTCTGGAGCGCCCCCTGCTGGAGGTCCTGGGGCCCTGGCGCTGGTCAGACCGACGCGGCTCCTGGAGGCAGGGCCACCTGGGCAGCCTGTTCCGGAGCGACCTCGGGACACAATCGATGGGTCATGTGTTCAGCAGGATAGGTTTGCGCCACCAGCAGAGGCCTGTGGGGCAGACGAATTGTGAGAAGAGCCAAGGCTTTCCCCTGGCTTTGGATGGGGCCTCAGCTGTGGCTCCAAGGTGTAGGGTGGCCAGGCCCGGCAGTGGGGCTCGGGGCTGGGATCCTGGTTTCGTTTTGCTTTGGGTTTGTCCTGACGGCGTGTTGAGAGGAAGGGCCCAAACCGCGTTGGCGGGAATGTCCACATCTCCTGGTGTCCTGGCACGTCGGGCCGTGGGCACAGCCCCAAGCTGCCCTCCTGTGGAGGACGTGGGTGTGGTCAGAGGGACTCCACATCGTCTCAGGGCCACGAGGCCTGCCTCTGAGGTCACTGCCCTTGGAGTGACTTGCCACCCCAGGGATACTCCGGGAGCGGTGGTGGGCAAGGCAGCCCCTTGGCCGCAAAGCGGGGGTGGGGAGGCTGGAATGTACAGCAGCCCTGGGGCCCAGTCCCAGGAGAGGCAGCCGGAGCCCCCGCGCAGCCGTGGGAGAGCCCACGCCCCTCTGAGCCCCTGTCCGTGAGAGGCAGGGCTCTTGCTCGGCGTCCAGTGTTTCTGCTGTTTCCTCTGGCCTTTTCCCTCAGTGCCGTCCGCTTCCCAGACAGAAGCGCTGCCTTCAGGGAGTCTGAGTGCCCCTCCCCCCCTCTCTCCTTCTACTCCAGGCAGCTCCGCGGCTACCTGGACACCCTGGTCCAGGACATCTTGGTCCCCAACCTGCAGTGGCATGCCGGGAGGACGGCCGCAGCCATCCGCACGGCGGCCGTGTCCTGCCTCTGGGCGCTTGTCAGCAGCGGGGTCCTGTCGGACGGGCAGGTAGGGCTCATGCGTCCCAGGCCCCAGAGGGAGGGGGATGTGCCCTGGAAGAGCGCTCGCTCGCCTGAGTCTCCTGTCCTGACAGCCGCAGCAGGTGGTCCCAGGCAGACCGAGGTCCGAGGTCCGGACCGTGGGGCTCGAGGGCAAGCAGAGGTCTGGGGGAGAGTCTGGGTTTCCCTGGGTTGCCTGGGGGTTTTCTCAGGTGATTGTTACCATTTATGAGAAAAGAACTTCATCAAGGAGTCTAACTTGAGTGTTGTTTGTATTCGCATCTCATTTAGAGGGGGAACTGAGGAAATAGTAAAAGTAGGGAAAACAGTGTGATGCCTGAACGGCTGTTACTTAAGTTAAAATGTCCCCCTGGGGACTTCCCTGGTGGTCCAGTGGCTAAGACTCCAAGCTCCCAATGCAGGGGCCTGGGTTCGATCACTGGTGGGAGAACTAGATCCCACGTGCCGCAACTAAGAATCGCATCCCACAGCTGAAGATCCTGCATGCTCCAGCTAGCACAGCCAAATTAATTTGTAACAACGTTTACAGAAACGTCCCCTAAACTTTACTGGACAGGATACCCGGTTCTGCTAGCAAGTAGTGGGCTGTGTAGGATCCATGCCTAAGACTTTCTGAATAACAGATTTTTTAAGGATCAGCTGACCAGTGTTCAAATTATCTGGATTTAAAATCAAGACTCAAGTCTGCTTCTCACATAGAAATTTCAGAACAGTGTTCCAGACTCTGTGATGGTTGCATTAAAACCAAGTCTTTCCCATTACAGGCGATGCACACGGTGTGTGCATAGCGGTCTCTGTCCAGCCATGACCCACAGCTCACGTGATTTCTTATTGCAGATACAGGACATGCAGGAGACATTGATGCCTCAAATTCTGACCACCCTGGAAGAAGATTCTCAGATGACTCGATTAATTTCGTGCCGGATCATTAACTTGTTTTTAAAGACCTCTAATGGTGTGATTGATGCAGACAAATTCATCAAGATTTATCCTGGTAGGACATGCTTCTTTCCCCAATCGTGTGTGTGTGTATTTGACAGTTGTTTCTGTCAGAAGAAGAACAGGAAATGCTACTTTTGATTTCTGGTCAGGTTAGTGCTGAGTCTAAACATGGCTGTGGTGGGTTTGACATCACTGAGTAAGTAACGTAACAGGAGAAACAGGACAGGCACCTTGTGGACCAGAATTGGGGGGTGGGCGCTCAGATGCCCACAGGAGCCGGGGGCCACCCTGCCACGGGCAGGGTCTGCACCCTGGGAGTGAGGGCCCCTGTCTCACGTGCCCTGTGTCAATGCCTCCTGGAGCCTGAGCACCAGCGAGTCCCAGACACACAAGTGCAGCGCGGCCCGAGCAGAGCAGTTTGCTGGGGGCGGGCCTGCTGCTGAGGACCTCGGGGCTCATGGGCGCGCCCTCGCTGGAGGGAGTTACGGGCCCTGTGTGCCATCTTCGCTGAGTGAGGTCGTGAGCCACAAAAGGCTGCAAGGACAACAGCCTTCAAAACAAGTGGAGCGCTTCCGGCTGCAGGCTCTGTGGAAAGGGTGCTGGACGCCACCATGTCTGGCCTGCAGGTGCCAGGAGGCAGGCGAGGAGGACAGGCATTCCCGCAGAAAGAGGAGTCTGCTGTCCCTGTGCCCAGGGCCATGATAATCCTGAATCCACTGCCGTGTGACCATCTGATTCCCTGCTGACAGCTCAGAGCCAATGTTGTCTTGGAACCTGCTGCACATTTCAGAATGAACTTTCATAGAAAGTGAAAAAAACAAGTTGAGAAAAATGCAAATGGGAGCACAGAAACCCTGGGAGAACCTGGGGGGGCGGTGCTAAGTCTCTAGAAGACACCAGTCGTGGGGCCGGCATCTCGTGTGGGCTCTGAGGGAAAAGCACCTGTTGATAAGAGTCTCTCCCATTCATGGGAAGCGTTCCTGCCCCGCGGGAAGGACTGTTCCCCCAGGACGTTTGGTCCTGGAGGCTCAATAGAAACAGCCGACGTGGCTGGTGGCCATCATGTCAGCAGCCCTCCCCTCCATCCTCAGAGCCACTGTGGGCAGAGAATAGGGTCAGCACACGCCCTTCCTGCCGTCTACGTGGTGGGGAAAATGGGGCGGCTAGGGCATAACACCTGTGAATGACTCTGAGCCTGAGCATCTTGGAGCTGGGGGAACCCCAGGGCCACCCTACTGGTCAGAGAGTGCAGACTCCCAGGCAGGCCAGTCATGCCTCCACTAGGTGTCCATGGAGTCCACCCCTGGGCCAGAGTGGCCAAGGATCCCAGGACACCCCTTCCCTAGCACCCACGTATTGGTTTCCCGGGACGGGTGCTGGGAGCTTAGCCTGCCCCGAAACCTCTGCTCACACTCCTGCCCCACCCCTGCCCCCAGAACTCTTAAAGCGCCTGGACGACATTTCCAACGACGTGAGGCTGGCAGCAACCTCCGCCCTGGTCACCTGGCTGCAGCGCGTCCAGAGGGAGGCCTCGAAGTGCTGCTATGAGAGCAGCATCCGGCACCTGTACCGCGAGCTCCTCGTGTACCTTGATGACCCGGAACGCACCGTCCAGGACGCAGTTCTCGGTAAGAGCCTTGTCCCCATGTGGGCTGGCCACACGGGGGCCACTGGCTGGCACTGCGGCTCTCGAGGTAACAAGAGGCGACTTGTTCGGGGCAACTTGGAAACTGCTCACAGTGGCAGCAGTTGTGAACGGACGGGTGGTCTCGCCTGATGGGTGGTCTCGCTTTGTACCAGGAGCCAGCACATGTGCTCAAGGGGGTTCCTGCAGACCCCACACCATGAGCAGGGGTGCAGAGACCGCCTCACACACATGCGCTCAGCCATGGCCAACACCCCCGCCTGGCAGTGCACGTGTTCCAATCAGCAAACCTGCAGGGACATGTCGGCCGCCCTGAGTCTGGTTTACTTTGGGGTCACTGGGTGCCGTGTGTCTGTCGGTCTGGACGTGCCTCCCACCTGGCAGTGTTGCTCCTAGTCCCTGAAAGCCCTGGCGCTTCCCCATTCATCTGTCTCCCTGTCCCTCCTAGACTTCAGCAGCCACTCAGCTTCGCTGCCTCTGTAGTTTGCATTTTCCAGAACATCATATTCTTGAAGTCATGTGGTATGAAGCCTTTTCATGTTGACTTCTTTCACTTGGTAATAGGCACTTGAGGCTCCTTTTCATGGTGTAAGGGCTCATTTTTTAGCACTAATACCTCGTCTCAGTGAACCAGTTTATTTATACCTTCACTGATCACTTTACACAGGCATCTTCATTGTTTCCAGATTGTGATGATAATGTACAAAGCTTCTCTAAACATCTGTGTGCAGGATTTTTGCAAATGTAAGTTTTCAGCTCCTTTGGATAAATGTCAAAGATTGTGATTGCTGGCTCATATGGTAAGAGTATGGTTTGAAAGTGAAAAGTAAAAGTCATTCAGTTTTGTCTGACTCTGTGACACCATGGACTGTATAGTCAGTGGACTTTTCCAGGCCAGAATACTGGAGTGGGTAGCCGTTCCCGTCTCCAGGGGATCTTCCCAATCCAGGGATAGAACCCAAGTCTCCCGCACTGCAGGCGGATGCTTTACCAGCTGAACCACCAGGGAAGCCAAGAATACTGGAGCGGGTGGCCTGTCCCTTCTCCAGCGGAGCGTCCCGACCCAGGGATCAAACCGGGGTCTCCTGCACTGCAGGTGATTCTTTACCAGCTGAGCTACCAGGGAAGCTCGAGAGTATGTTTAATTTTTAAGAAATCGCCAAAGTGGCTGCACCCTTTTGCAGTGCCACTAGCAAGGTGATAGTCTCTGTTGTTCCACACTCTGCCAGCAGGTGGCCTACTGACTCTGGCCATTCTGACAGGTGTCTGCTGATTGCTCCTTATTTTAATTTGCATCTCCCTGGTGACACCATGTGGAGCATCTTCTCACATGCTTACATCTATATCTCTTCTTTGGTGAAGTGTCTGTTAAGATCTTTGTCGAATTTTTTAATTGGGTTGTTTTTTAAGACTTTATTATACTGTGTACATGTCAATCCCAATCTCCCAATTTATCCCTCCCCCACTTCCCTTCTAGTAACCATACTCTGTTTCTGTTTTGTAAATAAGTTCATTTGTATAATTTTTTTTTAGATTTCACATGTAAGCAATATCATATATCTTTCTCTGTCTGACTGATTTAATATTACAGTCCCTAGGTCCATCCATGTCACTGCATATTGTACTATTTCATTCTTTTTATGGCTGAATAATATTCTCTTGTGTGTGCATGCACACATGTGTGTCTGTTTATCACATTATCCGCTCATCTCATCATGGACATTTAGATTGTTTCTGTGTCTTGGCTATTGTTCATAGTCCTGCTGTGAACATTGGGTTGCATGTACCTTTTCAAATTAGTTTTTTCCTGATACACACCCAGTAGTGGCATTGCTGGATTAAATTGTAGTTCTACTTTCAGTTTTCTGAGGAATCTCCATATTGGTCTGCATAATGCTTGTACCAGTTTACATTCCCACCAACAGTATAGTGGGCTTCCCAGGTAGCCCAAGTGGTAAAGAATCCGCCTGCAATGCAGAAGATGCAGGTTCAATCCCTAGGTCAGGAAGATCCCCTGGAGGAGGAAATGGCAACCCACTCCAGTATTCTTGCCTGGAGAATCCCATGGACAGAGGAGCCTGGTGGGCTACAGTCCACGGGGTCGCAGAGAGTCGGAGATGACTGAGCACATACACACATACACAACAGTATAGGAGGGTTCCCTTTTTTCCACACCCTCTCCAGCATTTATTGTTTGCAGACTTTTTAATGATGGCCATTTGACCAGTATGATGTGGTACCTCATTGTAGTTTTGATTTGTGTTTCTCTGATAAGCAGCGATGTTCAGCATTTTTTCATGTGCTTCTTGGTGAGAAATGTCTATTAGAACGTCTGCCCACATTTGATTGGATTATTTCATTGTTTTGCAGTTGAGTTGTATGAGTTGTTTATATATACATTTTGGAAATTAGTCCCTTGTTGGCTGCATCATTTGTGAATAAGATGTATTTTCATTTTCATTTAGTTAAAAATATGTTTTCTCTTGAGACTTCTTCTTTGACCACTGTGGTGTTCAGTGATGTGTGTGTGAGCTCCAGCTATTTGGGAGTTTTCCAGTTATCCCTTTGTTAGTGACTTCAGTTTTTACTTCAGTAATTCCACTGTGGTCTGAGAGCAGAGGTTATAGTGAAGGTGTGTCTATAGCCCTGATTGTGGTCTGTTTTCGTACATGTTCCATAGGAGCTGAGAGTTATGTATATTCTGCTGGTGTTGGATGAGACGGTCTATAGAGACTCAGTTGATCGCTAGTGCTCTTAGATTCTGCTTTACCCGACTGCCTGCTGGATCTTCCCATTTCTGAGAGGAGTGTGTGGGAGTCTCCTGCACAGTAGTGGGTTCACGTACTTCTCCTCACAGCTGTCATTTTGCCTCGCCTAGTGTGACGCTCTGTTACGGGGCTCATGCATAAAGATCGTCATGTCTTCTCGAGAACTGACATGATCATTGTGCGACGCCCTCCTTGCCCCCGATCGCTTCCCTTGCCCCGCAGCCTGCTCTTTGTGGCTGTCGTAGCTTTATTTTGTTGTTGTTGTTGTAACTTTAATGTGAAGCTAAGGTGGACTTAGTGTTTATTTCTGGCATAATAAAAGTGTTTTCCTGTTTTGCAGAGGCCCTCAAAGCAGGCAGTGTCCTCTTCCCCGACCTCCTGGTGAAAGAGACGGAGGCCGCCCTCCACAAGCACCGCTCGCCCACCCACTGCGAGCAGCTCCTGCAGCACCTGCAGGCCCTACCGCCTGCCCAGTGACCAGAGTCCTGGGAGCAGAGCCTCAGCACAGCAGCTGGAGGGGAGCAGACACGCAGCCCTCGTCCTCACCAGGGCTGGACCTCGTGGCCTCCGAGTCTCGTCACAGGGCACCTGTCAGCCAGCAGCGGAGGACCCTCCCAAGCAAGCCTTGACAGCAAGATGAATGTATTCCCTGAGCTCCCTGCCCAGTGCCTCCTGGGACAGTTTTTCACATCCAGCAGCTTTTGAAATAACTTTCTCTGAGTGGCTTCTGTATTTTTATGTCTTACTCATACAATTCATTAAGAGGTCTGCCAGAAATCGACAGCTAACTTCAAATTAAATGTCAGCTCCTCATACTGGCAGCCTAATCCATGCACTGTGTGTTTTTAGGCTACATGCACTACTAGGTTCATGGATTATTGGTTCTTTCTTGCTTAAATGCCCACCAAGAAAGTTCTTGAGTGTATATAAAGAAAAAAGCCAAAGTGATTAAAAAGAAGTGTTGTTAAAATAAAAAAAGAAGAAATGTTTCTTCTTTGGGTTCTGTCTAGTGAAACTTTATATCTCAGTGAAGAAACTGAAAAGAATTTGAAATTTTAAGAACTATTATCAACAAAATCTTCCCCTTTTAAAATGTTATGTGGGTTGTATTTGGTCACAGTATTTTCTCTTAGATCAGTAATGCTTACAGTGTTGAAAATAGGATATTTAATCAAATATAATTTTGGTTGCTCTTGTACGTAGCAGTACAGTAAAACTGTTATCTTTTCCTGCATTTTCTATCCCCAAGTGCCTAAAAGATTTCATTTTAAGCATTATTTCCATAAGCCAAATATTTATGTTAACACAAGAAAATGCTCTATTTTTTCCAAAAATCGAATATTAACATTTATGCTTTGGTGTTTGAAAATATAACAAAATATTTATTATAATTATTCTCTACGCCTGTCTTTGTGTGTTTCGGTAACTGAAATTGAGATTCAGTTCTTCCTCAGATTTAACCTCACAGTGATCCCAGCCTTAAGAATCCTGGGCCTTTGGACTGAGAGGTTCTCACAGCTCATTGAGCTACCCTCTGTGGACACCAGGTGGCAGGCGCTCCAAACAAGTTAAGACAAGGGCGTCAGCAAGACTTCCGAGGGCTCACGCTCCAGTGGGGTCCGCCTGCAGAAGGGCTGAGCACCGAGCCTGCAGCACAGGCCCGACTCGCTGCGCCCAGGCAGAGCGACTCCTGGCCGCGGTGACACCCCTCTGTGCCCACCCAGGCTCTGAGGGTGCGCTCCTCTCCAAACCCCAGTAGGGTTGGTGGCTCCGGGGATGGCGGTACCCTCAGATGGCCTTCCCCCAGCTCCGTGGCTGCCCTCTGGTGCCTCTGGGCGTCCTTCCTCAGCACCACCTGGAACCTGTCAGAGATGCGTGTTATCTGGCCTCGGTCCAGACCTACCGAATCAGAGACAACGGGCCGGGGACTCCTGCCCCGAGAGCATGCGTTTTCACATCCAGCAAGAAGCCCCATCTTCTGCCTCTGGTCAGTCGGTGTCACAGGAGCCAAAAATAAACAGCAGAGAGCTTGGCTAGGAGGACAACACATGCCCAACCCCTTACCTCCCACACGGCCGGGGCTGGGTGGCCCCCACTGCTGTCCGGCCTGGCTGCCATCGCGGCATTAGCAGTGTGCGTGTGCTTCTGTGCATCATTCAGGGAACTATGCGGAGGCAACATGGCAGTGAATCAGGACACCCAACACAATCTTAGCCTATAAAGGGGTAGTAATCTTTTTTTTTTTTTTTTACCACACCCCATGGCTTGTGGGACCTTAGTTCCCTAACCAGGGATTGAACCTGGGCCCTCTGCAGTGACCATGCCAAGTCTTAACTACTAGAGCACCAGAAAATTCCCAGAAGTCTAATTTTTCAATCTTTTTTTTATGGATTTTGCCGTGATGCTGTTATCTAGGAAATTTTTGCTCATCTCAAGGTTTTACTTCCTGAATTTAAGAAGCTCAAAAGGTTATTTTCTTAAAGGTAATTTATCTATTTGCCTCAACCCGTGCTGTGGTTCAAAAACAAGTTTTATTTCCTTTTAAAGTCTCCTTTCCAGAACCTACATGAAAATAAGACATCCTTCTAGGGCTGAGTTGGTTGGCTGAAGATGAAACACTTACCTTTTAGTAGCCAGAGATAGCCGGATATGTGCCAGTATGGAATTAAACTTCTAAAATAAATTGTAACAATCAAGGAACACTACACTGTGTATGGAATGCACCGTATGTAGGGACTTCCCTGGTGGTCCAGTGGCCAAGACTCCGCACTCCCAGTGCAGAGAGCCTGGGTTCAATTTCTGGTCAGGGAACTAGATCCCACATGCTGCAACCAAGAGATCACACGCCACACCTAAAGGTCCCATGTGCTGCAATGAATATCAGAGATCTTGGAGCCACAGCTAAGATCTGGGCCAGCCAGATAAGTATTTTTTTAAAAAAACAAATGCACCATACATGAAAGGAGAGAAGGAACTGCCTATATGTGCTTTATGTGCAGAAGACATTTCTAGGTTACAAAGAAATTGGTAAGGTGTCATCTTACCATTTGATGACATCAAATTGGTGTCATCTGAGGAGGGCACCTGTAGAGCTGAGGGACTGGAGTGGAAGTTGGGTCTGTGCCTTTTGATACTTTTTCATTTACTTTTCTTACGCACGTGTTCATTAGTTGAAAGCACATCTCAGCTGACACTTAACTGCCAAATCAGTAATCCAAATTGACTGGGTGATGATCTTGGCTCCTGTCAGCACACGTCCAGGGAAGGACATTCAGGATGAAGCAAAATGTTTACCAAAAACTTGTCTCGTTGAGAAATGAAAACGCAAAGACTTGTACCGAAGTGTTCATAGCTGCTTTATTCCAGCCCAACTGGAAATCACCCAAATGTCCATTGATGTTGTGAATGGATGAACTGTAGTATGTCCACACAACAGAAGACAGCGATCAAAGGGCACCGAGCACTGCCAGGCGGGTGGTGCACTCAGACTCTAGTCTGCAGCCAGCCAGGTGTGAAGAGTGCCTCTTTTGCTGGATTTCTAGAACAGGCAAAGCCGTTCAACGATTCTCTCTTAACCACTGAATCAGTGACGGATGTTTAGGTACCTGTTCCTGTCTGCTCTACTGGTGTGTGTGTGTATCTTGTGTGAATTTTTTCATAACTGAAAGTATCAAAACTTTAGAAACAATCATTGGTTGAGTTTGGAAGTCAAAAGCTAAGATTAAGTGCTCTCAGAGGCTGCCTCCTCCAGGCAGGAACAGCAAGTATGGTGTTGCGTTACCAAAGGCTTGCCTCTCCACTACCAGTTACCTTACAACCAGCCTGGAAAATTAAATCCTCTCTAAAGATAAATCTTTCTTCCTGATTTTTCCCCATTTTCCAGGACTCTAAACAGTCAATGATGTCTAGACACCCAGGCACTGCCTGTGTGATGCAGACAAGAGGAGCAATTACTGGGTGGTACTTCGGGTGACCGGCTTTGGATACACTTTTTTTCTTTGTTTTCCAGACTTGAGTCATTTATAATGTTAATGACAGGGTTGTAGTACATGACAATTGGTATCTCAGCCAGGGACTGTAGCCTCCATTCAAGCATTACCCTCTCAGCCCTTCTCCTTTGGCCCTGAACCCTCAATGGTGTAAGGTGCTTTTCTATGACTCTTCCTATAAGCAAATGATGGCTTCAGAAGCTGGCTGGGACACAGGTCTGGAACCGGTCCCAAACGCAAAAGCACCTGCTCCTTTGTTCTTAAGAGTTTTCGCAATGTCTTAGTATAATTTGAAGAGGCAACCAGTGCCCTGGTTGGCTGACAACACATGGTAACTACAGACAAGAGAGTCCATTTAGAAGTCTAGGTGCTCTCGTCCCGCCTAACTGATGGCGCTTCTATCCTCTAGGATTACATTAGTTCCTTTATATTGCTATTCTTGAAAAACTGAGTTGACAGTTTTGGCTAAGATTGAGAGTGAACAAAAGTGGTGAAACTGGCAAATGTAAAAATGGGGACAACAGTGGCCTTTTAAACTACTGTAGGGGGACTGGGTTTGGGGCAGAACACTGGCCCTTTTCCAGCCTCCCAGTGACAGGCGTTTGAGCTGGGGTCTTCATCCTCCGGATCAACTGTCTGAGGCCCTGTGTACCTGGGGTTTCACAAGCACACACACATCGGTCTCGCTGCTCGCCCGGCTCCAGTTGGCCAAGGCTGCGGCGGGCAAACCCAATGGAAACGACCCTCCTGGTGGCGTTGGTCTTCGTGTGTGATGACACCTTAGGAACTAACGCTTCTCATGGCCTCGCATGGAAGTGCTTTAGCCTGTACCTCTTCCCGTGATTAACGAGATAGAATTAACCTTTCAGAAACTACTGTGAATTTTTCACATGGCTTGAAATCCTTGATGACATCTAATGGCGAAACCAAAATTAGGAATTTCGCTTTGGTGTATAAAATACCTACAGGACAACCGTATCGCCCAACAACTCAGCGACAAGGTTTCTCCAGCCGCTCCGTCTTAGCCCAGAGGTCCCGGCGGCCGGCCTCCGGCTCCGGGGCGCGCAGCAGCTGTGCGCAGTGCCCAGCTGCGGGAGCTGACGAGCTTCGGACCCGCGATCCCGGTCCTCACGAGGGGTGCGCGGCCACCCCTCCTGTCTGTCCGCAGCTCCGCGTCAGGCAAGCGCGCGCCGCCGCCTGAAAAACAAGTGCGACCAACACCGCGGCCGCTGACGGGCGCCGCATCCGCGCCGGCGGGCGGCCGCACTCCCCCGGGCTCGCGAGACCTCCACGTCTGCGCCCGTCCCTGCCGCACCGAACGCCCCCGCGACTCCGCGACTCAGACAACCCAAGCCCAGACAGCGGTTCTCCCAGCGGCCCTTGCGGCGAGGGCGCGGCCACGTGACCAGGACTCGGCCAATCGGGGGCGCCAGCGGCGCAGAGGAGGACCCTGCAGATTAGCGGCGCACCGCGCTGACGTCTACTGTGTTGAGTGGCCGGTCTTCCAGTCAGGGCGGGTTGATGTTGCTTTCTTGTGGAGAAATGGAGCCTGAAACCTCGGCAAACTGCACTTGCGGTCCAACCACGTCTTTTCGGTTGAGTCGCTGAAACCTGTTTAGCTTAAGCCAGTGTGAGCTGCACGTTTTGATACTTGCTCGATAAAACGTCAGATTGAAACAAATACTACCAGAACGACCTGGAAAAAAATTCATTTTTCATGTCCTAGGTTTGTGACTCACTAAGAACGTCTTCGAGCCGACAGGAACTGTACTCCCATTCCTCCGACTGGGCTCCCCCTCCCACCGTCCTCCAGCCCCCAGAGATTTGGGAGAGGACAGGGGCGGGGGTGCTGCTCACAGATACCTTTGTCAGTTGGCAGGTATCCCTTTCTGGTGACGCTCCGAGACCCAGCCATTGCCCCTCCGAGTACAAACTCTGTACCTCAAACACAACTGGGGGTCCTGACAGGGGCCCAGAGGGGCGCAGTCCGTGAAGAGCCCACCGCACCTGTTAGCAACATCCTTCCTGAAGGGAAGAATAGGGCGGGAGAAGTGGGCGAGACAGGAGTGCCCTTCCTTCTCACCACACCCTCTTTCCTTCCTTCGGGCCTAGGGTAGAGAGCGCTGCAAGTCCACCCACACACATACCTGGGCTTCTTGAAGAAGTGACTGATTCCAGGGCTAGGTCAGGGAAAGTCCAAGGTGAGCCTGGAAAGTCCTGCGTTGCCAGAAAGTAAGGAATGGCTCCAAAAAGGATGGGGACTCAGGAGCCAACCTGAAGGTTCTCCTAGTGACCAAAGCTGGAACTATGTGCCTGGCAAAGTTAATAACAAAACTGTTGGGTTGTGAGTTACAGAATAATGTAAATATCCACGAGTCCCTAGTGATATAAAAAAAATAAGTAGA